TGTTTCTGTTTTGTAGATAAGTTCATTTGTACCCTTTTTTTTAGATTCCACATGTAAGTGATATGGTAGTTATCTTTCTCTGTTTGACTTACTTCACTCATTATGACAGTCTCTAGGTCCATCCATGTTGCTGCAAATGGCAATATTTCGTTCTTTTTTATGGCTGAGTAATATTCCATTGTACATATTACTACGTCTTTATCCATTCTTCTGTCAGTGGACACTGAGGTTGTTTCCATGTCCTGGCTATTGTAAATAGTGCTGCATTGAACATTGGGGTGCATGTATCTTTTCAAAATATGGTTTTCTCTGGATATATACCCAGGAGTGGGATGGCTGGATCATATGGTAGCTCTATTTTTAGTTTTTTAAGGAACCTCCATACTGTTCTCCATAGAGGCTGTACCAGTTTACATTCCCACCAACAGTGCAAGAGGGTTCCCTTTTCTCCACACCCTCTCCAGCATTTATCGTTTGTAGATTTTTTTTAATGTTGGCCATTCTGATTGGTGTGAGGTGATACCTCACTGTAGGTTTGATTTGCATTTTTCTAATAATTAGTGACGTTGAGCATCTTTTCATGTGCTTTTAGCCATCTGTATGTCTTCTTTGGAGAAATGTTTATTTAGATCTGCCCATTTTTTGATTGGGTTGTTTGTTTTTCTGATATTGAGCTCATGAGCTATTTGTATATTTTGGAGATTAATCCTTTGTCACTTGCTTCATTTGCAAATATTTTCTCCCATTCTGAGGGTTGTCTTTTGTTTATTAATACCTTGGATATTTAAGTTTTTAGTTCTTAAGTGTAATGTCTGGTTTGGGCCAAGTTCAATCTGTATCTGTAGTTCTAAAATAATTTCAAGTCAAATCAACCTATCTATACCTATTCTATACTCAACTATTCTATGCAAGGCACCGTGAAAGCTATTAAAAATAAACAAATGAAAAAAGCCCAAATCAAAGTTAACCTAATATCTTTCCAGGTAATATCTCTATGTATTTGGGGAGAAAAGGAAGAACACAGGTCCACAATTCTTTTTTTCTTTAACAATTTATTTATTTTTATTTTAATTTTTTTTGGCTGCATCGGGTCTTGGTTGTGTCACGCGGGCTCTCTTGTTGAGGCACGCAAGCTCAGTAGTTGTGGCGCATGAGCCTAGTTAGCTGTCGTGCGGCGTGTGGGATCTTAGTTCCCCGACCAGGGATCGAACCCACATCTCCTGCACTGGAAGGTGGATTCTTTACCACTGGGCCATCAGGGAAGTCCCAGAGTCCACAATTCTTAATCTGAAAATTCTGAGGTGGACGTGTTTGAGCAAAGGCAATATGGGACATATACTGTCCCATATTTAACATCTTCAGATAGGTTTGGTGTGGCAACTATTTTTAACATAGTGACACATGAATATTCATGCTGAGTGAGGAAAAATACAGACCTAAATAACCTGATGTCAGGTCAGGCATTCAGATTTTTGATTTTGGCAACTGTGAATAGCAGAATGTGGGCTTGTTTTAAAATGTGATCAGGTGTTAAAAGAAAATAATTACGAGTCACGTTCAGAAAAAGGGAATGTCAGAGGGTGTGGAGAAAAAGGAACCCTCCTACATTGTTGGTGGGAATGTAAATTGGTACACCCACTATGGAGAACAGGATGGAGTTTCCTTAAAAAAACTAAAAATAGAGCTACCATATGATCCTGCAGTCCCACTCCCAGGCGTATATCTGGAAAAGACAAAGACTCTAATTCAAAAAGATGCCTGCACCCCAAGGTTCATAGCAGCACTGTTTACAGTAGCCAAGACATGGAAGCAATCTAAATGTCATCAACAGATGAATGGATAAAGAAGATGTGGTGTGTATATATACACACACATATATATACAATGGACTATTACTCAGACATAAAAAAGAATGAAATAATGCCATTTACAGCAACACGGATAGACCTAGAGATTATCATACTAAATGAAGCAAGTCAGACAAAGACAAGTATCATACAATATCACTTATATGTGGAATCTAAAATATGATACAAATGAAGTTATTTACAAAAACAGAAACAGACTCATAGACATAGAAACAAACTTACGGTTACCAAAGGGGATAGTGGCGGTGGTGGGGGAGATACATTAGGAGTCTGGGATTAACAGATACACACTGCTGTATATAAATTAGGAAAACAACAAGGACCTATTGTGGAGCACAGTGAACTATAGTCAATATCTTGTAATAACCTATAACGGAAAAGAATCTGAAAAAGAATACATATAGACACATATATACTCACACAGATATGTATAGCTGAATCACTTTGCCGTACAGTTGAAACTAACACAACATTGTAAATTAACTATACTTCAATAGAAAAAATGATGAAAAAAGAATATATAAGTTCAAAACAGATAAAATTTTAATAAAAGGGAATATCACTGTGGGTGGTGACAGAAAAGGTGGGATTTTTTTCTGATTTGAAGGTCTGGATGGGACTTCCCCTTGCTCACTGTCGACTCTTGGGCAACTAGAATCACACCTGCCATGTATTTGGTGAATAAATATTTGGCACATGAGTTATTAATGAAGAGAAGGGGAAGAACTTCCCCGTCAGAGGAGACTTGTGCCTAAGGAGGGGATGAATTTGATAGTCAGCGGTCTGCTCTGATTGAAGACGAATACTCTGCAATAAATGTGAGTAGGTGAGGTGGGACCCCTTATGGGGAGTTATGTGTCTGTGCCTTACATGCTTCTTCAGCTGAGGAATTTGGATTGGATCTGATGACTTTAACTTTTAAATGGGGATGGGAGAGACCTAAGGTAATCAAAGTGGCTTGAAAAATAGAGAGTAGAAAAAACGATGGTGTTCAGAATGGATTATGGTTGTGTGTATGTTCCTGTAGGGATGCTCAACATGCAGGCATCAAATTCGAGGCCGTGCTGAAGAAGCAGAGATTAGTCCAGAGTGTGAAGAAAATGCAGAGATTGCGATCTGTTGCATTTGGAAAGTGACAGGAAGTCAGAGAAGATTTTCAAAATTCTAATACTTGGTGATGAGGAATGCTGATCCCTTTGGCTGAAAGGGGAAATTTGGAAGAGAAGTTGGAGAGGATATACGAATCGTATGACTTGGCGTATTGATTGGTTTATATTCTTCAAATCTGTTTATATGATGTCTCTTGTATGTCATGTGTGTGTTCATAGATGTAAAATTTGTCCCAAGTCCCTAGTCCAGAGCTTTTAAGGACAATGTAACAAGAAACAGTAAATCCTACATGACTTGAGTGTATGTGTTCTATGTGCCGTCTCCAAGCTGCTTTTATAGGAGGTTTATTTAAATTTCATGTTAAAAAAGGAAAAACTGTGTTGAGTAGCATTAGTTCCCCCTTGTACCTTTCATTACGCATTAGCAACTAACCCTCCTTCTCTCGGGTTGATGAATTTGAACTTGATCTATTATCTGATAGTAATTGCCAGCACAGAGTGATGATGATTGCTGAAGTAACATTCTTATTTCATTTCTCTTTGTATGTCGGGCACTTCTCTTTGTATGTCTTATTTCATTTCTCTTTGTATGTCGGGCACTTCTCATAGGGCACGTTTGTTTGCAGAATATGACGTGCTCTTTTGGCTTCTGGCTTTGAGGCCACTATTTTAGGTTTCTTAAATAGAGTAGTATTGACAAAAATCCTCTGGTATTTAAAATTCTCTGGACATGGTCTTCTAGCCTGTAGGAGACAGAAGGAGTGGGCTGTGGCTGGTCTTTTCTCCTCCAGCCAGGCTCAAGCTCTGATTTTTCTGTTACTTGACAGTTTCTTTTTTTCCCCAACTCCTGGCAGGGCTGACCTGCATCTTTCTCTGCTCTTGGAGTCAGTGTTTCGCATCATGAAGGTGCCTCAAGGATCCTTGAACCTTCTGAATAGTCTTGTGTAGGCTGAAGGGCCAGCCTTTCCTCTTCTGGTCCTTTGAGTTCTCTAGAGACAATCGAGAGAGAAAGGGTGTCTGTTTTGCTGGGGCTGCCATAATCAAGTACCACAGACTGGGTGGCTTAAGCAACAGAAGTTTATTTTCGCAGAGTTCTCGGGGCTAGAGATCCGAGACAGGGTGTCAGCAGGGCTGGTTTCTTCTGAGGGCCCCTCTCCACGGCTTGTGGATGGCCATCTTCTCCCTGTAGTTTCACACTGTCTTCCTTCTGTTTGCATCTGTGGCCTGATCTTTGCTTATAAGGATACCAGTCATATTGGATTAGGGTCCACCCTCATAACCTTGTTTTAACTTAACCCCTTCTTTTAAAGACCTTAGTTCCAGAAACAGTCACATTCTGAGATACTGGGGGTTAGGACTTCAACATATGAATTTTGAGGGACACAATTCAGCAAATAACAGATGAATAGGACATTTCAGAAGCTTGAAACTGAGTAAGGAGAAAGAAAGAAAAGGCAGCACAGTGAAACAGCCTCTAATCCTCCTTTGGAGTCTTAGTGCTTCTTACTGGACAGTGCATGTAATGGCTCTTAAAAAAAAAACCCAAACAAAACAAATTTCACTTTACTTTTGAGTGAGTGATTTCCATGGTCTTCAAGAATCATCCACACAACGGTTTCTTCCTGTGTACTAATCAGCACCATATTATTTTTAAAAGGCTAAAACTTTTCAAGACAAATGTCAAGAATAAGTAAACATAAGAAACATGAAAGGTGCCGTGCATCTTTGCAAATTGCATTGGTATGTGTGAGTACTACTTAATCAACTTTTTTTCATAACCACTGGCTCCTTACATTTTGGCCACCTGGAACAGTGTTTTATGAGATCATCTTCCAACCGTAACTCATGAATACCAAGCTGCTAAGGCAAGTTGGTAAACACTCACTTTTGTCAAACATTGTTTTTATAGGCAACAGGAATGCTGCTAATGTGAGTTAGCAAGGATTCTGAGTGCCACTGTTTGTTGACAGCTTTTCAGATTTGACTGTCTCGTATTTGCTAACATTTCGTCTCTTCTAAATAGGTATAAACGACCAAGGATTGTACAGAGTTGTGGGGGTGAGTTCAAAGGTCCAGAGACTTCTGAGTATGTTGATGGGTATGCCTCTTTTCTAATCATTTTCCATACATTGTTTGTTTATGTTCGTTGTCTCTGCAACTCAGTGTTTCATAGTAACGTAACTTGGGAATCCATTCTTTTCGTCTGCTGTCTTGGAGTCCTTTTCTCCTGAGCAGAGACAGTTGGCTCAGAGGAGTCGGTTAGTGTTTGCTCAGGTCCCCCTTACTAAGAAATGGAGGAAGAAAAGAAGGCAGCTCATGGGTGAACGTCTTCTCCTGCTTGCTTCTCCCAGGGGGAGTAGCAGCCAGGCCTCTGTGATTTGCGTGGCTTCCAAATTGCCCGTCCAAAGTCTTGACAGTACATTTGGTTGCACAAGACCACTGGGACTCGCTCATTTTTCTGGAGCTTCCACAACTGTCACTCAACAGCAAGGGTCTGATTCTCAGGGATTCATTGGTATGCACAGTGGCTTGTTTGTAGTTTGCACCAGGCTGTTCTCCAGAACCATGCCTGCTCCATCTGTGCTGATAACACAGTGTTCTTTGGCATCGCAGACGAGAGGAAGCCAGAAAGTGAATTCATTTCATTACCCCAGACGTTATGTGAATGACAAAGCGCTTTTACATTACACTCTGCTGTCAGCTCAGTGCCACCTGTAAGAGGCCCTGCTCCTCCGCCCCCCATGACCCCAAAGCAGGCTGACTCCTGGGGGGTGAAGATAACTCATCAGGCTTGAGGGCCTGTGTGTCAAACCGATCTGTCATTATGACCTTGCTAAATATTAATTTATTTGATATCTCACTTTAATTAATCAATATTAACAGTGTCCTTAGGTTTTCTGTCAATGCATTTAAACCCGTCTGCATCTTAAAGCATTGTTGCAAAGACTTACTTTGAGCAAGCATAAACCGAGCTGAATAAAATCAGCCGGGATGTTACGGATAGCGTTGCTTGTTTGGCTGCGTTTGAATTCAGGATTTAATAAGCAACAACTCTTTTCTGAGCTTATTAACCACAGGAAAAATGCCTCGTCATGACTTGGAGAGCCTTATTAGAATACATTCGCTTTCATGAGTTGTTTTCATTTTCTGCCTCTCTGGTTTAACTTGGGTATGCAATTTTGGCAGTCAGATTTTCCTTTTTACCATTAGTGGGCTCCAAGTGAAATAGACTCAGGTTGCCAGTGGTTCAGTAGCAGCTGGCAGAGTTTAATGGGATGACAGCATCTGCTTTTAGTTAATTTTAAAATTAGAAACACTTCTCTCATTTCCAAGATGGTGTTATGGTGATTAGAACTGGAAGACTCTGTTGGTATCAGAAAGGGAGATTTGGCTGAAAGGCACACTGGGCAGTGAATCGGTTATAAGGACCCTAGCTTTATTTTATTATCTTCTCATTCATGTTCAAGGGCAGCTCAAACTAGCAGGTGTCCCTGTGGTCACCCTGAGGTGTTAAGCTGTCTCCAGATTTGTTCTTAAACTTATAAAAACCATATGATCATCCGCATCCCTGGACTTGGGTGGTACTTTCCTCTGCTCATGGGAAATGTCCCAAGACAGTTCTGAACTTGCAAGGTGCTTAAAATATCTAAACCCTCAAAAATTCATGACCTGGAAAACTGTTTTCACTTTCCGTGAGGCTCAGCGTAGAGAGGTCCAGGACACAAGCATGACACAACCTCATTTAAGCTGCTGGCAAAAAGAAATGCTGTGTTTTCAGTAATATCATTCTGCAATCAGAGGAAATTAGAGAATTGACACAAGGGAAAGATACTGACTTACTGTTTTCTTATTAAGTAATGCATTTAGGGGAACGGCACAGGATAAATTAATTTTACTTCATCTCTAAATAATTCCTAGTATGAATTTAAGATGGTCAGTCACAAACTTTGGATTTTTATTAGCATTAATATCATTTTCTTGTTACTTTATGTTACCAACTCAAACTTCAGCTCTTAACGAAAGAGGTTTATCCACTGTTTCCTAATGAATTAAAGATTACCTTAAGATGTTTCTTTTCCTTTCTTCCTGATTCAGCAAGTGTTCAAATTGAACTAATTTATACCTCTTCCAAAAAAAGAATTTGAGTTTCTGAATAGTTGTGCACACACTGTCCTGTAGATATTCATTTTCTACATTTCCCAACCTCTCTACATTGTTTCAAAATTATATATGTTTAAGAGAAAAAAATTGGGTGAGTCTGCCAGGTTTTTAATTTTGCTCTTTGTACCAATCTATTTTTTTTCCCTCCAGTAGATAATTAATTCTGATAATTTTGCTCATTTGTGGTACTAGGAGTTATTTTTAAAAATTATTTATTTACTTTTAAAAACCAAAATTTTTTATTTTGAAATAATCTCTAGCCTGCAGAAAAATTGCAAGTAAATAGTGCAATAGACTCCCATAATACCTCTTCCCCAGATTTACCAAGTTTTAACATTTTTAGGCAGTCATTTTTTAAAATTTCGATTCCTCCAGATAACGTTTATTTCAAATTTGAATTTTTTCAAAGTACTTTTTGTTTGGAATGCATTTTTCTTTGCAGAAATGAAAAGTAACCTAACTTTTTAAAAATCTGAGATAAAGTTCCAAGTCGTTTTATATTTTTTGACAGGAACATCTGTTTACTTTGGTTCTCTGTAGTTCTTGAGAGCTAACCATTTACTTTGCTATTATTTTTCCTTTATTGCCATTTTTACATAAAATATTTATGTATTTAAAATATTTTCAGCATTCTTTAAATACTCCTGTGTAAAAGTCTGTGGTGATTTCTAAAAGAAGGATGCATGCTTAGTATCTTGCGTGTTTTCTTCACTTGTGTCTCTATTGGGTGTGTTTTCATGACCTTCACGTTTAAAATTACAAGAGAGAGGTTTCTTCTTCCCCTCCCCCATTCCGTTTTCTTGCTCCCCCTTCCTCCCCTGCCCCTTTCTTCTCTCGTCTCCGCCACACATGAAGTACTAATGGCAGCTGACCACCATTTGTACTCCTCCAGGTCAGCTAAAGGAGTGGGCAGCTGCCCTCCTCCCCTGGTGATGAGAGTTGTTTGCCTTCTTGGTCATCTTTCATCCCGGGGGGCAGAATGTAGCGGTCTGCTGGATTTTCCAACAGCCTTCTGGCTTTCCCTTGGACCAAGTTTCTTAAGGTTCCACAAGAACATGCCCCAGTGAGCAATTACATTCCTTCCCTTTACAGGTGTTTTTCTTTTCCTTCTTTTTTTTTTTTTTTTTTTTTTTTTTTTTTTTTTTTTTTTTCTTCAATGGCCGGGCCTCTCACTTTTTTTTTTTTTTTTTTTTTTTTTTTTTTTTTTTTTTGCTCTAACAGAGGGCACACATAGTCTGGTAGAAGTTTTTTTTGTTTTTTATTAGAAACTTGAAGCAATTGGGGAAGGCAGGGAGAAATAGCAGATGAGGTGTCTTTGGGTGAGTCACGGTATTTTAGTAAGTGGGGTGAAAATGTAACAGATGAGTCATTGGTAGGTTGGAACTCTGCTGAGTTAGAATTGTCCTGTGTTCTCCCGTCTCCTCCCTTGGAATGAAAGCATCAGACCAGGGAAGGGAAAGTGCTGGGAAAATGTGGTGGGTAGCTTGTGTGTGCTGGTGAATTTTCTGTCTGTTTCTAAATTTAATTTGTAAAAACAGCTGGATGATTTTATTTATTTTAAGACAGAGAACCATAGAAAACCAGAAATCAGACTAATTCAGGGGAGTTTTACTATAAACATATTACCGTGTTTACTTTGTTTGTAGGACTTTTCACAAAGATTGAGGGAAAAAGTAGACCAATGTAGCTGAAAAAGATTCTGATTTTGGATTATAAAGAATATTCTCCAAACTCATTCAATCACTGGGCGTCTTCAGGTACTTGAGACTGGGACCCAAGTCAGTGTTGAGTAGGGTGCCAGCCCTTTGGGCTGGGCTGAAAGTTTCCGGTTTCAAAAAAATGACCACTGGTTATAGAATTATGAAGCATTTACCCAAATAAAAAGTCAGCTATTTGTATCTCTGTTCATTAGTTTAGGTTTTAAAGTAATCCACGAGGTGTAGTCTTCCTTGGCCAGAAAGGAAACAGAATTTCTACCTTATTTATAGTAGAACATATATTCTGATTGAACACTCTAAATGCATTTTTAAGTTTGAATCCCAAATAAGTTACTAACAAATTTACCTAGTCCCAGTGCATCCACGGATTGTTAAGAGCTGCTAGGGATGATTGAGTTATTTGAAAACAGTGAACATTTAATAGAGGATTAATACCATAGACATTATGTAGTCATTGGCTTCTTGTGTGACAGCTCCTTTTTATTCCATTAATTCAAAGGATGGCTTATTTTTTCATAGACTATGGTTCTCAAAATATAGAATGATCATTTGGTCAAAAGCTGAAAATAAAAGATTTCCTTTAGAAGCCTCCTGGATTTTAAAATGGTGATTTGCTGGTAGCAAGTTGATTGAAAATGTTATCTGACTTGTATGAGATTTAAATAATTGACTTAATGAGAGAGAGAATATTCAGTTACTGCAGTAATTGGTTGGCAAAGCCTTTAGAACAGAATTATTTAGTCCTAGTTATAAAGGATTGCACCTTTAATCAGGGTGCTTAATTTGATTTCTTGAATGTATCTGTGGCTTGTCTGACAAACTCAGTAACAAGTGAGTTCTGAATTGTAGGGACCGATCAAAATGTAATCAGTGTCAATTGCCATTGTTGTAGTTTATTGCATATTGCTGTCAGTTGCTGTAATCAAGAGCTGTTGAAGTGCTTTGAAAAGTTTCCAGACTTCTGAGTAATCGACTTCATGTATCTGATGTTATGGCTGTGAAATAACCATCACTTCCTGTTTTACTTTATTTTCAAAAAGTTTGAGAAATAACATTGCATTGTCACCCATCCTTTCCCATGCCAAAGCCTCAAACTTTTTAAGTGGCATGCATGACTTAACATGGTGGTCCCATTTGGACAGGATTTTCTTTTTGAACTTTAGTTTGAAAAGGGTGTACTAACGAGTTTCCTTCCGTATATAGACAAATACAGTGTAAGGGAGGAAAAAATACCTGAAACGACTAGTTTCAGGAGTGAGGGAGAAGTAAGTGTTTTCTACAAATCTCTTATTTTCTCCTTTGTGTGATTGGAGCATAGAAACTCACTCCAGTTTCTGTTGATTGTTTGATGTCTTTCATCATAAGCCATTCATTTACTGCTCCCGCCCATGGGTAGGTATCACCACTGAACGCTTATACTTTTGGTGACTCGGCTGTGGTAATTACCTACTCATTTGATGATTTATGGAAATCTGCATACATTCCTGATTTGCTCTGACACTCTCAGTAGTTCCACGAGAGCGTGTACGTTATCTCCGTCGTGCACGTGAAGAGCTGAAGTTCAGAGAGGTTTGGACCTGACTTGTTGGGGTGGTGAGGCTGGTGAGGGTTGAGGCGGGATTGAAGCCCAGGTGCGTGTCCCTTGCTGCGCTCTCCTTCCGGCTGCCATGTCACAGCCAAGTGCAGTAGCCCAGCCTTACAAGGCTCGGAGATGCCACCACACTCGGAATGCTTGCCTTTCCCACCATCCTTTGCTTTTATTTCAACCAGGGTTGACTTTTTCCTTTTCAGAATTAATTGCGCTGCCCTCCTCCTCCTTCAACTCTTCTACTTCTTTTTTTTTAGTGCCTGTTTTACATCTTCTTTAGAGTTTACTAGATATTTGAAAGGGCATTTGTAAGAAATGCATCATTAATGTACTTTTAGGACAAAGAAAACTAATTTAGAATGAATGTCAGACCTGTTACATAGAGGCTTCTAGTAAATATTTCTTGGATGAGTGTATATAGATTGTAACGTTAATGTGAAAGATTACCCATGAAAGACTTTTTAAGTTTATGTGTCATTTCTGTTTTGGTTGATCACGTATTAGTCTTCAGAAAGATAATATGATGAGTATAAACCTTAGAAGTGTGGGACCAGACTTACCATCCCTTTCCCCCACTGACTTCTTGTTCTTCTAATAGGAATTTTGCCATTAAGGGTACTGCCTGTTTCCCCTGTCATAACACAGTGTGATAGCAATCATGCCACCTGAAACAAGTTCAAATGTATAGACACTGCAAAATGCCACATGCTGTAAGCCATGGCTACTGAGTAGTACCTTATAATAAGAGTAGTCGTAGTGATAATAATAACTGTACATGCTTTGCAGTTGTGAATATTTAAATGCTCTGTCCAGTTCTCCCCTACTCCCAGCCCAGCCCTTATCCTTTCACTTCGATCTTCACTACAGATTTTCTGAAGTGCGAGAAATGTCTGATAAAAGAATATGGCTTATAATATGATAAGAAATTATATGTAATCTTTTTAATAGGAAACCACAGAATTCAATATTTGTGGTTTGGCTGTTTAAAGATGAGCCATTTGGTCAAGGTTTGAATTATTTTTTTCTTCCTTGCTTGCTCACCAGATGTGAAAACCTGCAATGAGGTGGACCTGGAGAATTCTATAGATTGGGAAGTGAAGACAATAACGAGTGCCCTGAAACAGTATTTGAGGTGAGCTCCTCTCGGTAGCGGGGCGGGGGGAGAGC